GACCGAGGGTGGCAAGCCGGCTCTGTTCTAATGTTTGGGGGGGCCCAAACCAAACAGAATCATATCATGTTGCCTATTCGAGTTGATTTCAGCATGTTTCAATTGGATGATCTGAGTTGATTGATATTTGTTCAGAAAGGTTGAGACCACGAATCACTATTTCGATTATGTTTGCACGCGTCGAACGTTGGTCTTACCTTGTTTCAATTTGGTTAGTTATTGCAAATGCAGAGAGGGTTCCTCCATTTATTGTGGTACCCCCCTCATGGAAAACTTGCCAGATTCCAACCAAGATGATCCCCAATTAATGATTTGAAGAAAATGGTTGAAGAGGGAACATTTAGAGTAAACCCGAAGTTTTTAACCATCAACTGTTGAATGATGTTGAATGTTTCCTACAACATGTTCCCTTTCTGTAGATGATATCATGGGGTTGATGTCTCATCCTCATCATCATCATCATCAGCAGCATCATCATCATCGTCATCGTCATCGTCATCATCATCATCATCACCATCACCATCATCATTCATCATTCATCATTCATCATTCATCCATCATTCATCATTCATCATTCATCATTCATCATTCATCATTCATCATCATCATCAACATCATCATCCTCATCCTCATCATCATCATCATCGTCATCATCGTCATCGTCATCGTCATCATCATCGTCATCATCATCATCATCATTCAATTACATTTTATCATTATTGGCAATTATTGGCATTATCACGAAAGCTAGCGTCAGCTCGCTAGAGTCTTCTTGCTTTAGCAAGTATTCCGGGGCTCCCCCAAGGACATCACGTGATTTTTCACGCGAAAGGGCCCCCCCCCTGCCCCTCCCCCATATATATCATTATTATATATCATATATCATATATCATTGTTGCATCCTCGTTGGGACGAACAATGCCGCGTCACGATGATGACAGTCCCTCCGCAACTCACCTCTTCCCTTCCTTCTTTCTCCTACCCCGCTAGCTTTCGTCATCCACCCCCGGCCTCAAGTATATATATATATTCCATTTACTCCCATCATATTATTCCATGTGTTCCCAATATTCCCATGGTTTTACCATGTGTTAAGCCCATCATCCGTTGCTTCTCAGGAGCACCGACACCACCAAGACCGAAGATGCTGATGCTGGCGCCACGGAGAAGCCTGAGCCAGAGGCAGCGGAGGCAGCGGAGGCAGGGAGCGACCGAAGCCTTTAATAATGGTTACCCTTTGGTAATTTAACATAGCTATTGAAAATACCCCATTTATAGTGGATTTTCCCATTAAAAATGGTGATGTTCAATAGTTATGTTAGTTTACCAGGGGGTAGTACTAGTAAAGGGAATTTTCCAAACGGCTGGTGATAGTGAAATATGAACAAATATGATTTACCCAGATCAATGGATTGGTTCGAGAGAAAATCTGCAGTGAACTACCGGGTTTTCCCAATTTGTTCCAATTCATCTACTTTCATGGTGAAGTTCTATGGCCGTGTCATACTGCCAGAGGATATTTGATCGGCAAGCATTCAAGATTTCACCAGGTGTTCACCAGAAACAAATGTGGGTTCAACGTGGTTTGAAAGAAATCATCGATCAGAGTTGGGAATTCACCAGCATCCAAACGCGAAGATACTGGAGATTGGAAAACCATGGGGATGTTGAGTATTGAAAAATAGGGAGATTGGCCATGTTGCATATTTATATAGTTGAATCATCCGCGAAGAATCTTTAGGGTTGAACGAGTAGATGGTCCAGCCACAAATGGGGATATGAATGAAACGCAGTCAAAACATGAAACGATCAGAAGAACGAGGTGAGGTAACCATCATTTCAATCAGCAAGTGTGGGTCTCAACCAGGGGCACACTGGAACATCCAATAGAAATGCAGATGGCCGGATGAAACTACTGGAGTCTTAGTCATTGAGAGTTGACTATTGTCATTTTTACAGTACATGTTTTAGGGTGCCCGAGAAAGCAACAACAAACCAGAATAAGGGTTCTCATGAGCCACGTTCTAAACCCTTGTGTTCATGTTAAGCAAGGGGCCCCTTGTCAGGGTGTGGCGTGAGCAAAGCTGTGGTGCGCGTAAGCGAGCGTAAGCTCCGCGTAAGACAAAATATCCGCGTAAGCAAACCTGTGCGCGCGTAAGCAAGACGTAAACAATGGCGTAAACATTTCGGGTGCCAGGATGTAAGACATTTAGAACACGGCTCACATTGACGCTTACCTCATTTAGGTCGCCATGGTCATGGTCATGTGTGTCCTTGACTGTTGGGATTTGGTCATCCAGACGCTTACCTCACCCCCTCAGGCGGCCAAGAAAGATCAGTCGGACGACGAACGCGCCAAGCAGATTCGCACGGGTGAGCGGGCGCGATCAGAAGACCATGAGGATGATTGAGGCGCGCGGCAAACCTGAAGGAATAAACATGGGCAGCGTGGGCATATTCATTTTATGGTTGGAAGCTAATTACCAGAAAACCCAGAAACAACCGCCATGATGGCAACATTCACCCATAAAATCCCATATATTATGAGTTCGTCCCCTTGCCACGACCGGAGGGTTCCATGTTTGGTACTCAAACATGGCAGCTGGTGGTAATAAATTGTGTACTTTTGCCAAAACAATAGGGACAATATAGCCTATATAAGATTTATAACTCATAACCTGCAGAACCACCAAGGAGATTGGGCTGCCATTCGAAGATTCAGATGGATGTTGTCATGTTCACTCAGAGAATCAGCTACAGATACCTTGAACTGGCGACTGGGGGAGTCTGAGGCGTGCCATCAATGTTTGACTACCAGAGAGTGCCCAATGAAATGGAAGTCTACCCCAAATCATTGGTTTTCCCATTGATTCATAAGAACCTATTTTGGATGATTTTTGGTAATTACTGATATTGATTTGTTGCGCTGTACAATTGGGATAATGGGATAGGAACGCCAAACTTGACACACTCGAGGCGTTTCAAGTGGCTTATGGAGACTGATCCATTTAAGGCGTTTCAACAAACGCAGGTAACAAAATGGACACATGAGCAACTTGAAGCTATAAGCCTGCCGAGCGTTGATCAAGACATGTTGAGATTTCCTGTACTTTAAAATATGATTATATGTACTTTGTATTCATACATATTTATATATATATGTGCTTATGTGTATATATATATACATCTGGATAAATTGTAGCGATCTTACTGCGACCTCACTGGAATGGTTAACAAGGGGAATTGTCCCAATATAAGCCGTATTTCAGGTTATATAGTGAATCATTATAGTTTTCTCATATACATAGATATATGTATGTTCTCTGCAAGTGGGTGGTGGTTTCAGCACTTTCCCATTTTTACCTTGGGTGATCCGCCCCAGTTGAAGCTGTGACTGTTATTTCTCGCGATCTTTGTTGTACATGGACGGGTCACGCATCACTTCTTCAACACAACCCAATATGTTTCTGGGATTTACATATATACATAAGCATGAGGAATAGATTATATATACAATATGTTTATTTTGCATACATTATAGTAATATCCATATTTAATATTACAGTCACAATATTGTCCATATTTTTCCATGTTGAAAATTGCACTGGTTGCGGCTTAGAGAGCCTCGCCATCAGGTGGCAGTGCGCTGGAAAAGGCTATGAGAGCAGAAATGCAGGGTGGTTCCAACATGTCAAGATGCTTATGAAGAAGAAGAAGAAGAAGCAAGTGGATGCGCCCCTTAGGAGGGAACCACTAATTTTATAATATTTAATTTATACATATATATATATATTTACATATTTAATTTTTAATTGTATATAGATATGTATATATATATATATGCTGTGTTCATGTTCCAAAATATCCAAATTAATAACATACCACACGCTTGCACATTTGGGAGGGTCATTTGAATCGAACTGTTTACAAAGGTTTAGTGTTTAACTTCCGCAAATGACGTCAGTTATCTTCAGTAGTGGTGCAGACATGATCCCCAGAATGACAGCGCGATGGGCCCTGACCGAACACATTTGTAGGCCAACATTTTACGACGGCCCACAGACGAAATAGTCAGCCCCATTATGGAATTGACTATGGCCTTGAGAGACATTTGAAGAATTGGCGGTATGTTGAGCGTGACCAACAGAATCACGGCGCAGCAAAAACAAATGCGTTTGACGAGGCCATGGAACTTGTGCGGAACGGTGGACAAAAACTTCGAGACTATGGTCCAATGGTCCCTTAAAGCCTACCCTGTTTCTCTGAAGTTTCTGGCATTCTTATGGCCTTGTCCCAGATTTGGGTAAACTGCTAGACTCCAGTCGTTTCCTGTGTGTGATCTGATGATTGCTCATGCAATGTTTTTTTTTACCTTTTCGTATCATATTTGTGTTGCCCAAATCATTATAGATAGCTGCATTTGCAACAAGGTTTTCCAGACGTTTGTTTCAACGTGTTTCCCATGACCTGTGAACCCAGGCTGTTTTAGGGCAAACCCTCCGAGATGCCATCTGAGATTCTACATACTTGATGGTACAGGATGGTGCAACCCAATTAGTTCTAGTTCTAATATATATGGTTATAACGAATCTTAATGACACATTTTTGCTGGGGTAAGTGTATATCCGATTCATGTGGTTCAACATTCTGTGTGGTTATTGCCTGATAGATTTCCAGGGTGCCAACAGAAAATCCCTATATATATATATATATCGGTGAAGATGACTCACTGAACATATATGAACATTCCGTTGCCGTATTACAGTACCTTCTTCTGAAGTTACCAGAACAGACAGAGAACTCCAACCCTGTTGCTCGCGTACCTTTGCCCCAGGGGTCACTTACTTTGCATGCAAATAAATGCCAGGATAATGGATGCGATGAATGGAAAATATCTTGATTTGCGGTTGGGGCATGAGTCCAACCAGAAAATTGCCGCGAAATCAGTGAGGTTCCCGAATTTTCTACATCAAGTCATAGCATAAGATACACATATAAGCTTTAAGCAGCACCACGTTGCTGGAACTATGGCGGAAGATGATATGTCGAGCGGCGAAAAACTTGGCTGGGCCGCCTTCTTCGTGGTGGGATTCAGCATTTTTCTCGCAGTGGTGGCTCGGTCTTGGTGATGTCCCCTTTCCTACGGTCCTACTGGTTGGTTAATTCATGTTAATTCATAAAGGGATGAATCCATGTTAATCCCCATTTACAACCAGGGGTAAGTGATGATAAATTATGTAAATTGTATACCAGACCAGATACCAGCCCCTCTATTTTTCCAATCGGACATTGCAGCAACTGTCCTCCCGCTGAGGCTGTGGCGTTCATTTCAGAGCTAGCTGATCCCTCCTATGGCCCACACGAGGATGCCGATGAGATGGGCAGATGGGCAAATTCTTTGGCGTTCCAATGATGAAGGATTGTTCCATAATGTTCCGCATGTTTGCAGGCTCTGGGGCTACCTCAGATGATCTACCATAGATCCATCAGTTTGGATACTTGGAGTCTTGTCTTGGCACTTCGGACAGGCAGCATGTGGAGTCACAAAGGGAACTAAGATACCCACTGTGAATCTCGCAAATAGTCAACTACATTGAGTGAAGTACTTAAGTTGTAAGCAATTGCCTCCGCATGAAAAGGCAGTCATATATGCATTGCTTCACAAGCTTGTATTTGAATTAATCATTTGATTTTGTTTAAATATATATATACTGTATATCATATAAATATGATTAAATATGTTTTCTTTATAATATATACATAAAATTAATTCTAAATCATATCCATGCCTGGCCTCTATCATGGTCTTCGATGTGGCAATCAAACTGCTCAACTACCAACTGGGGATTGTTTTACCCCTTTCTGAGGATATTTTACTGTTTATATAATATACTGCGTATTTCCCATTAGTCCAAGTCCAAATTCATCCCAGATATCATTTCCAAAAATCACTTCCAAAATTACCTGTGAATCCAGCGTATTTACATCACATCTGAACCAGATTTTTAAAATAACTTCTAGACCTCAACCAGACTTGACCTTGCAGGAGTTGTGTCTGAGTGCCTACGACCCCGCCAGAATGTCCTATGCCGAGTACGGACACCTCCAAGCGTCGGCGTACTGCGCCTTTCAACGCATGTGGCATCGCTGAGAGCATCGCCGAGAGCATCGCTGAGAGCCGTGAGGCTGTTGCTTGGGAAACGTAACGGTATTTGATCGTAAACCGCTACAGATGGGTCCTAAAACCATCTCCAATAATGTAAAATAGTGCGCGGATGGGATTATAATGGGGTAATTAAAGAAACACATTACACTGTAATGGGTTATAATGGGAGAATGTGGGAAAGCCAACAATCCAACGATACGGGAACCCCGCTAATCATCCCAATTGATGATCCAAAATAATCCCAATCATCCCAATCAATGTGGAAAACCCAATAATAAACATACCATTGGAGGATTGTTTATAGGAGCCTTACAGATGGTGATGATTTGGGGATTGTTTATGAAGCTGGGCTTACCACAGATGGGGTGCTCTCCACAAATAACTTCACCAATGGGGGACTTGCTAACCAGGATTATTAATCAGCTGCTAACTGGGATGATTCTCCAAGGGGCGCTTGATCTTATTGGAAAATTGAAGAATACCAGCAGCAAGATTGGCAGAAGTTGGTGTAAGACCTTTACAGTGCGGCCAGAGTATATGATATATATATATATGCACATACCAACTCATCTACATTCTACATGTGTAAATACACATGTGTACCAACCAAAACATGTATATATGATGGAGGCACATAAGATACATACACACACACATATATATATTATTTATTTTTATTTATTTATTTATTTATTGTTTTATTTATTTTGTTTATTTATTTATTTATAATGTCGTACTTACATTTGTAAGTTTACGTAAGTTTGCAGGGTATGAGATTTTGGAGCCTCGCTGTCCTGCTAGGAGCGGAGCTCGTTGTGTTGACCGCTCGGCTGCTACTAGAAGAACCACCATGGCCTGACGCTGCCAAGACGGTGTTCCAACAGTGCAGCAGCTCCTCTCGCAGTTGCCCAGAAATGACATGGAATGGGTATGGCTCAAGAAATGTCAAGACTGAAGATCCCGGGCGACCACCAATGTCACGTGACTATGTCATTCATGTCACGTCATTCTTTCATATGCCTTATGCATCTTAAGCTCAGCATAGCTCAGCCATGATCAGTGATTCACTCATTGCAACTTGTTGGTGTAAAACGGTGTAAATGACTTGAGAAAACTCGAAATGGCTGGACTCGGCTGGAATCCAGGTCCAGGTCTGTTGCCTTTTGAAACCAACTCGATCCTGGCGGCTGAGAGCAAAGAATAGCCGAGCGATCCAAGGGCTGATGGTTGGGACATATTGGGACTCTCAGATCGAAGATATTTGTCCCTTAAACTTATAAAGGCTGACTATGTTTACCAGTGCATCACACTTGGATACATTCCCCTTGAAATTGCGGGGCTTGCAAACAAGATTGCAAACACGCGCGGTTTGCATTACAAAAATCAGTCAGCAGATGCCAGACCGGAAAGTGATGGAGAGAGAGAGAGAGAGAGATAGAGAGAGAGAGAGAAGAGAGAGATGCATGATTTGTGTAGGTGCAACTCTTTGGACGCTTTGACTGACCCAAGCCAATGCATGGAGGCATTGTTTCAACTATCAGAATGGCATTTGTAGCTAGGCATTCTTTGCCCTCCTGCTTTTCAGTACATGTTATTCTACTGCTTTCTTTTTGATACTGACATGAGTTCATCTTATTTCAATAGAAAGTGCAAGTTCATCAAGAAAAAAACATGTGCCAAAAAGTGGTTCATCCAAAGGTTTTTCGCTCTTTGGAGCCCTTGAGCTGACACGCCGTTCGTACAGTCCGAGTGGAAAGTGGTGCTGAACATGCTTGGGTTTTGACCCGGGAGGTGCATGCTGCCAATCGCTGCGCGGTGAGTCCTCAAAAACTTGGAATCCCTTTTCAAGCAATTGGACCCGGCAACGGCTTTCATCATACATGATGATAATCTCCCAGTTTTTGAATCGTTGGTAACCATTTCAAAGATGATTATCATACAGTATACCTCTATGTGATTATGTGTGTGTTCTCTCTGTGTGTAGATGTACTATATCTGCCTTTGGCATGGCTTTTACGCTCGGCAGGGCTATGGCACCATCACCTTCTGGGAAGCCACCACCGGAGCCAAGTTCCATTTGGCACAACGCTGGTGTGGGGCCCATGGCCCAACGATGGGGGACAAATGGGGACATCTTTTCATCCTCAAGGTCCCAGGTGGACGCATGTTCTACATGCTGCATATATATATATATATACATAAATATATATATATATATATATATATATACATGTAATGTAAACACACGCACACATACATACATACATACATACATACATACATACATACATACATACATACATACATACATACATACATACATACATACATACATACATACATACATACATACATACATACACACATATATATATGTAAAAATGAAACAGCATTATTGATTGTGCTGGGAGATTTGCCTTGAAACGATGGACAATAGAGTTTGGGCAAGTCCACATGCCATATGTACTTTAATTGTGGATTGTGTAACCTGAGGTTTGGAAAGACTGACGAAAGATCCATTCCGGAGGCCTGTGAGGGCTCTATTTGTGGCTTATTTTGCACCTTTTCAGCACGTTACAAAGGCATTTTTGATGGCCTTTGTATGCCTTGGTGTTGCATTTGGTTTGATATGAAACGTTAAAGGTGGCAGGAAGGATGGACGCTTAGACAAACAAATGGCCATTTTGACCCCAAAACTGGTTGGTGGTTTCATCGTCATTTTTGTGGTTCAGCCACTGAATTCGTGGAAAGTATCCCTCACAGGCTGTCAGATGCAGCCAGGTGGACCAAAGATACAAAGACCGTAAGGTTGCAGGGGATCCAGGGGTTGTGGAAGCCTTGAAACATCCGTGGATGAATGGTTGGTGGTTTAAAAAAAGTTTGACATATCTGCAGCTTTCCATCCCTTTTTCAAGATTATCACTACAATTCTTGATCATTCTTGGTTGATTGATGTGCTTGAACATGTTGTAGTGGAGTGGGAACAGACCAGCTGGAACATGATCAAACATTGCTTTGTTTCAGATACTTGTCCCCAGATGAAGAATTTCTCTTCATTTTGTATCATTTGTCGCAATGGGTTGAAACGTGTTAGCCGCTGTTAGCCCAGGGATCGCAGCAGGCCACTGCCGACTGGAAGAGTGAAGCGAAGTTGGCGGAACGCGCAGACTTCAGCAGGCGCCGATGGTTCCAGGTCATGGGGTTTGGGACCGTTCCATGGCGATCTAACCATCCAATAGGGATTCAAAGACCATCCGAAATGTCTTGGCGGTTCTGATCTGATGAAATGAAACGGGGTTCAAGCAACTTCTGACTGGATATTTTGGAGTACTATAGGGACCATCAAATGGTTATATAGTACTAATGTGGTCAACCCAATGCCGTGCAGCACAGAAATTGGTGGTGCACAAGTCATGCTCCACTTGGAGGTTTGCCAGTTTATGGCACTGGGTTTATCAGATTGAGGGGGAACCACCATACAATTCAGCCAGATGCTTGGGACAATTTCAATCCTCTGCCCTGATGGACTAGGGGACGACCCAGGGACGGCATCACGAGGTCAATCCTCGGATGGTCGTGGACGGTAGGATTGCTTGGTACTGTGAGCGGGTTGTAATTTCAAGACTTTGACTGTAACTGTAACCTATACATATAATTATATATATATACATATCGTATACATAACTAATCACATACATTTATCCATCTAATTTATTGATCTAAACAAGGGTTATTGGGATTTAGGGGTAAAATTTGGGTAAAATCCCAACATCCCCATCGCTGGAGGCAACAGCATTTGGCCTCCATGGACCAACTCTACAGGCCGTTGTTTAT